GAGGCACCGTACAAGATCGTCAATTCTTCAACTGTCTTCGTTTTCGGTTCTTTCATGAAGCTAGATTATCCATTTCTGGTTTCCAAACGGAACATATATATATATATATATATATATATATATATATATATATATATATATATATATATATATATATATATATATATATATATATATATATATATATATATATATATATATATATATATATATATATATATATATATATATATATATATATATATATATATATATATATATATATATATATATATATATATATATATATATATATATATATATATATATATATATATATATATATATATATATATATATATATATATATATATAGACACACACACACATAAACACATACAATCGAGTTGAAATAGTTGAACCGTACATAATTCAAATTCAGCTAATTTAGTTAACGTACTTAATTTTTTTTACTCATATTTAACTCATTTGGTTCATAAAACAAACCTAACAATTTAATTAACAGATCAAGTTTAAAATTATATTCAAATTAGTTCGGTTCATTGTGAGGCCTAATTTCTTATAACAATTCTAAACATATAATTCTAATATATTTTAAGTGAGAAAATGTGAGATGTTTCAAATATCAATATTTTGACAATATTGACGACTTATTCTCCCATCTAAAAATTACTTTCACTTTGCTGGCCAACTCCGTTTTGTGTTTTAATAATGATTTGCTAGTTTGTTTATTTTTTTTTCTTATTTCTTGATTAAAGAAAAGTCTATCATAGTTAAATATAGTATTTGTTAGACTTATTTAGTCCTGAAGTCCCTTAATTTAATTTTCGTTTTCACTTTAGTCCCTTATATAATAAATGTTACAATATCGTCCCTTAACAATCATTTCGTTAAACAACTTGATCCACTCTGTTAGTTTGTTGTAAAAACGTTAAGTGTGCTGATGTGGCATACCAACAAGGATTGGTTTTCATTTGTGACTCAGCATATTGCATTTTATAAACCGTGTAACCTAATTCTTTTTCCAATGTAATATTTTCACGTTAGGTTACTATTTATCATCTTCTTACTCCTTCTTCATTCATATGTGGACATGTCAATAAACTCCAGCAACAAATCAAAATCAAACACCCAAAGTTATGAGTCATTTGGATCTGTTGTGATAAGAAAGAAAATGATGAAATGTTGGTGTGAAGAAGAGTGTGTGATGCATGTTGTTACAAATTTGAATAGTGTCAATGTTGGGAAAAAGTTTTGGGGTTGTAGAAATTACAAAAATTAACTGGAGAAGGGATGTAATTTTTCAAGTGGGTAGGAGATGAAGTTGTTGATGGAAGGGATATGAAGATTGAAAGGCAAAGGAAGAAAATATTCAAGTTGAAGAATGAGGTTTTGAGCACAAGAGGAATGTTGAAAAATGCAGTTTTATTTGGCATTATTAGTTTAGGGTTTAATATAGTTTTTGTAACAATGTATTTGAAATAAATATGCGGGTAACACAACATGTAATTTGATGTTATGAATGTAAGAATGTTTGATTTTGCTTAAATGAAATGGGTTGAGTGTTATAAAATTTTTCGAATGTTTAAGTATTTCTGTTATGGTATGATATTTTTGGGCTGTAATGGTTATATGAAAACATCTAGTTAAATAAAATATTGCTTTAATAAAAAATTTGTTTTTATAACTGGTCTGTTAAGGATCTATGATAAAAAATAGTTGAACAAAATATTGCTTTAACAAAATATTATGGATTATAATTGGTATGTTATGGATCTATTGCTTTAACTTGTCTGATATGATATTGTTTTATAACTGGCCTGCTATGCATTATAAAGAACAAGTTGATGAATCATGTAAATAACAAGTTGAAATTTCTTTAACAAAATGTTACGGATATTGCTTTAATAAAATATGTTGCTTTATAAAAACATGTGTTTTTGTTACTGATACAAAAAGGCAATACAATAACATGTGTTTTTGACACTGGTACAAAAAGGGCACTGATACAAAAGGGAACTGATACAAAAGGGCATTTGCTCTTTGCCACCAATACAACAAAGCCTAAGTTAGTGTTCACAAAAGCCTAAATAAAGTTTTCACATGACACTGAGTTACATAAACATGAAAAATAAAAAGTGGCTCAAGTTGCTTCAAGTTGAGTTGATGTTGCATGACTTGCTTCAGGCTAACTTGGTGCTGGAAGACTTGCATCAGGCTGAGATGCTCCAGGCTGACTTAGACTAGGCTAACTTGGTTCATGTTAAGTTGTCAGACTTGGACCTGAATGTTTGCAGGTTGCTTTGTTGTGCCCCATCATGTGGCATCTATTGCACTTGATGCCAAAGTTTGGTCCTTTTAGCTGAGTGTCATCCCTTATGCTCTCTAAGGCATCTATAGTCCTCTTTTTCTTTGGCCTCCCTGGTTGCCTTTTGACTGGTGGTGGTTGTAATTCAACATAACTTTTTTTCTCCCAAAGTGATTCCCCATTGACTGGAAAAATGACAGATGCATAACATGCTTCATACATTTGTTTTTTGTAGCACTCAGGCACATAACTTTCAATCTCTAATTTTTGAAATTTCATGCAAGATATAGCATGACAACATGGTAAACCTATTAGCATCCATTTTCTGCAAGAACACACATTAGCTGACATATTCACAATTTATTTTTCTCCATTATATGAGATGTGTCTCACCTCATAGTCGTACTATCCCGCACACATGTTAAATAGACAAGAACTCAACCACATTTCATAATCAACAAATGTAAAATAAACATTTAGATGAGCAAATACATCACAATCTAACTATTTGTTTTTTTAGATTCTTTTGCAATCTTTTTCTTGATATTGGGTAGAATATCACCTTCAAACTTGACAATTTTCTATCTGTTTGACTCCCATTTTGTACTGCTCCCTAAAAGATCCATCTATAATATAAATTTCCATGGGTCTTCTCCATGATATCACTTAGCTTTAAACTAGGATTCTCCCTCACATTGTTCTGTATCTTAGTGTTGAGCCATTTGGATGTGAGAAAATTCACCTTGTAATCTCTACTACATGTGTGTTTATCAACAATATTCCTGAGCTGCCAAGTATCTTCATCCTGAATTTTTGCACAATATACCTCCCATGGACAACCTTTTTTACATATCACTTTCATCCTTTTCTTGTCATTTTTCTTGAACTTCATGTTCCTACCAATGTGTATGGCATATGTCCTAATACCATCCTTGAAATCTTGTTTAGAAGCAAAGCATGTGCCCAATTCTCACTTATAGTCATCCATCTATCTTTTTAGACAGTTTGAATGTTTGTCAATCTGCTTTTCCAACACATTCATCCTCGGTTAAAAGCAAAGGATGTCCTCAATTCCCACTTACACGGTCTTCCAACTTTTCTTTTCCCCTTTGGTTTACCGTTTCTTTTACCCATTCCTTTACCTTTCCCTTTACCCTTCCCTTTTCCCTCAACCACCTCATCTTCATACACTTCATGTTCAGTTTCTGGTATCTCCTCATTCATAACCACATCATCATCAAAATCTTCAAAATTGATCTCCAATGCACTGTGGTCCCCTTGTCATTTACTCCTCCTCCCTCCACATCAGCTTTAACCTCATTCAACACAGTAATTGTATGAATCCTCCTAGTTCCGTTGTCATTTTTCAACCCCACTATATTATTACACTCTATTTGATCATAATACCAAAGACTCTCTATAGTTGGATAACCTAAATCCTTTAACTCACCTAACACTTCGAAGTAACTCTAAAAATCAGGCTCAACATCCCACGTTTTCTCTAACCCATTATAACCTAGTTCCATTAACTCAATAAACTCACCCCCATGATGAACAACGCATTTAAGACGACTCTCCATGACCTAGATACAATAACTACATGAGATTCAAAGCTAACGGAAATGAAAAATCCTAAATGATAATTAAAATAAATGAAGGGAAAAAATATAAAGTTTGCATCATTCGTACCTCAAAACAGATGATGGACCTTGTTCCTCTTTCACTTAGTATTAAATAATACACAAACCCTAAAATGAAGAAGAATAAAAATGTATGAAACTAAATTGAAGATGAACAAGGTATTATTAATGAGGATGAACGAAAATGTATGATTACCATACCTTGGCGGACGAAAATGAAGGGTGATGATAGCCACACGAACTAAGATGAAGATGAATGTTAATGCTTGCTTCGTTAGGCTTTCCAGCAAAGAGTGGTCAACTGAAGATGAAGTGAAGTCAAAATGAAGTAAAAAAGGTTAAAATGAAACGTTGAGAATTCATAAAATTTTTAATCAAAATGTCAAACCATAAATCCATGTCACCTTATGAAAGTCAGCTGGAATGCCACCCTAGGAAAAACTAACAAAAATACACACATTTTAACAGAAAGGATCACATTGGCTAACAGAATCACAATTAAAGGACCTGACATTAACGTTTATTGCATAAGGGATCGAACTGAAAACTGAAATTAAGTTAAGAGACCAAATAATGTATTAGGCCTATTTGTTAAGTTAATTGTCATTTTTATATTTAGTATAAATATCTGTCAAATGATAATTTGTTAAAAAAGTTATTTTAAATATTGGTTTATAAGAATTTAAGAATTAAAGAAAAAATGTTGTAAAATAAAAGGAATTAAAGAAAAAATACACACCATATGGCTGAGATGTAAGTGGTGGCCCACGATAACCACTTCCGTCAAATTTCTATTCCTTTTCGTCAAATGAAAAAATCTCTGTTGTTTTATAGTATTATTTATTATTTTTAATATTTTTTTAGAAACCTTATCACCCGATAGAAAAAGAAAAACTTTTAATTAAAAAACATTTAAAAAATTTCCAACGCGACCGTGAATCGTTCATCTCCACGATCTTCTGCAAAAGAAAAAACTCTTCCATTTTCTCTTCCACCAAACAACAAAAACAATGGAAAACATTTCAAATGAATAGCCTTGAAATTCCGAATCCATGGAGTCCGAACTCCAAGACATAAATTTCAAACCAACAAAACAACCCGACCCCGTTCACGACGACCGTCCTCTTCTCAAAACGATCACAGTCTTCGCTTCCGACACCGAAGAACTCGAGAATAAATTCGCCGCGTATGTCCGACGCGATGTTTATGGAACAATGGGACGCGGCGAGTTACCGACGAAGGAAAAGGTGTTATTGGGGGTTGCATTGGTGACGCTTGTTCCGGTGAGAGTGGTTGCGGCAACGGCATTGGTGTTGTTGTATTATTTGATTTGTAGGGTTTGTACATTGTGTTCTGTTCCCAATCGTGAGGATGAACAGGAGGATTATGCGCATTTAGTTGGATGGAGAAGGATCGTTATTGTTCAGTGTGGGAAAGCTCTTTCTAGGCTTATGCTTTTCATTTTAGGGTTTTATTGGATTACGCAATCATGTCGCGTTGAAAGCCCTACCTTCAATGAGGTACTTTTCTTCCAAACCCGGTGATAATCATGTTGAATGCTTTGAAATCCAAAACTGCTATTCTGCTTTAACCATTCAAAATATAATATGCTTGAACTTGATTAAACACATGTTTGGAACTACGATGGACACCGAAAACACGACACCTACACTGACATGGTGACACCGGTAATAATTTAAAAAATTAATAAGTTAAATGTAATCACAAGTGTCGGTTTTGGACACTAGCACATATACACATTTTTTAAGAGGCACATACACAATTTTTTAAGAGGTGTTTTGTGCTATAGAGGTTTGGAATCACCTTGATTATAGTAATATATTATTCTTGAACTTGGTCCTATGATGGAGAAAATTGATTTTGATTAAAAGCTAGTTTAAGATAAAATGGTTTACATTAGAATAAGTTGCGTGGAAATGAGTTGCATAATAAATTTGAATTGAAAAAGGTCATGTGTGGAGGCAAAGATTATAAATCCTAACTTCAAACTTGAGTTAACTTTAGAGGCAAAATCAATTCTAATTAAGAACCTCAAATGAACTAAAATCAATTTTAAATCATCAGAATCACTTTTTGCTCTCCCAAAAGTGAATTCAAACACGCACTTTTAGTTGCATGTTCACGACACTGCCACGCCGTGGAAAACAATTGTTTATGTACCATTGGAATTGTAACTATATCATGAAGACCTTTTGCATGTTTGTGTTTTTTGAATTTATTTACTTTCCCTTTATTTGAATTGTCGTACATATTTGTGCCGGCAAAGTACTTTTTGTGAAACTGCCGCATCATTTTGGTCCTCTTTCTTGAAGGAGCAAAGGGGAGGTGTTTGACCACCTAATTTGATAGATAGATATATTACCATACTTGGTTTGTTTCTGGCTCATATATTTAATTTCTGCATGAAAAGTTTTTTGTGTAGGTATTTGATTTTACTTTTGCTTATTTTATTTTTTCTGTCCTTTTCAATGTAACAAGGAAAACAACCACCAGCCTGAAGAGACAGGAAGACCCGGTGTAATAATATCTAATCATGTATCATACGTAGACATTTTGTATCACACGTCTAAATCATTCCCAAGTTTTGTTGCTAAGGTTTGTGTTGTTGTGACGTGTTTTTCCCACCCTCCCTCTGTTTATCTCAGAAGCATGTTTTATTTTTAAACTTTAGTTATTTACTGATGCTTTCCCTTCATCTGCTGTGCTTCATTTCAATCTTGGATCTTGTTGATGAAGAGATCGGTGGCTAGACTTCCTCTAATTGGTCTCATCAGGTCTGTTCTCCTATGTTTTATCTGTTTAAGTATTAATTGTTTTATAAGCAGGATTGTTCATAATATATTGCTTACATATTATGGCTTGTTTTGTGACAGTAAGTGTCTTGGTTGTATCTATGTTCAGCGGGAGTCCAAGACATCAGACTTCAAGGGTGTTTCAGGTGCATAGATTATTGGTGTGTGTGCACTTTGTAATCATTCTGAATATATGTGCCATTCAAATGAAGTAGATTTTTTGCCCCTATTCCCCACCTGTAGTGTTCTTCTCCTCACTCTAGGCTAAATGGAGTGTAGTCAAGATGGAGTATTGGATCGTAGGATCTTACGTGCCATGACTTCAAAGGCGTGCTATGATCACAGCTAGATCGTTTTTTTTCGTCACCGGCTTGGTCAAGATCGTAAATAGTTGTGCTGGATTTTTTTGTTGGACCTGTCTAACTGGGTTGGGTTTTTATTAGAAATCCTAACCCTGGTTTACTTTAAGTGGAAAACCAGTGCTTCATCTAACCCTAAACCACACTTTTCTCAAACACAAAAGCTACCTCTTTTGAGTTTGGCCTTTTGAAAATGATGGTTGTGTCTTTTGAGTAATTAAGACGATGCCTTTTGAGCTTATTAAGTTATGGAATGATGGTTATGAATTATTAACTAAATTGGTTGAATGTTCTGTTTATAGGTTATTTTGTCTTCATATTATAAATTTCCCTTCAGTAGGATCTTACGTGCCGTGCTACGTTCCTAGCTATATGATCTTTCACCGGCCGGCTGATCCTACTTAAGATCTCGTGGTTGACTGCATTGGCTAATTGCATGGTAGTTTTTCATCTTGGATTTTATGTTCAAGACAATGGATTGAATAACGTTCTTCTAAATTATCTTGGACTGAAACATCTGTGAACCGATCTTACAGTACCCAGTGGGCTCACTCATGTTATTGGGCTGATTTTTTGTTTCCTTGGGAAGTTAGAGCTCTTTACCGGATGTGGAAAAGATAGGTTGTGTAGAGAGAGAGGATTAGGGGTCATTCTGGGCAATTAGAGATTTTTAAATTTTATTTTATGGCAGAGACCTCAGACTCTCGAAATATTGTGAGATAATAACAGCAGCTTGTATGCATCCTTCGTATCCTGGATTCATCACTGATGTTCCTAAGCTGTTTGTCATTTGTAGCGGTGTTAGTTGTCCACAAATCATGCATATTCATATGTATTAGCAAGTCACACTGGGATTGTACACTTTTTTTTTAGCGAAATTTCATCTACAAAATCATATTTTTCATTTCTTCCATAATAACTGAACAAGTATCTTTCCCGTCCCTAAGCTGTTCGTCATTTGTAGCGGTGTTAGTTGTCCACAAATCATGCATATTCATATGTATTAGCAAGTCACACTGGGATCGTACACTTTGTTTATTTGTGAACATTTTTCAATTTTGCAACTTGAGTTGAGATTTGATACCATGACCAATCTTTTTTTGAAGATATATAGATGTATAAAATGTCTGATAAAACTAACTATGACCTTGATTCCTACAGCTGTTGTCACTGAAAGAATTCGAGAAGCTCATCGAAATACATCTGCTCCAATGATGATGTTATTTCCAGGTTATCATCGTTTAATTTTTTTCTGGGGGCTCGGATAAAATTGTCCTATTCATTTTGTTCTTATTATATTTTTCCCTTGCATGATTTTATTTTCGTTTGGTATTGTAAAATATGATGATAGTGTTTTTTGACATCTGAATTTCTTATAGATGGTAGTGAATTGAATTAGTGATTTATGCATGTATGGAAAAGACCTGTCAATTATAAGTTATAGTATGACACAGGCCTCAAACGCACACATGTAGGGCTACAACAAACTTTCAAATCTATAGCACACAAACAACTCTAATGTCACACATAAAATTTGTATAAAATTAATGTTATATCGAAGGGGAGTAATATATTAAAAGTTAGAATGAGTATATAAATATGGTATTCGCAATCTGTATTCAGAAAATAAAAGTAAAAATATAATAGTTTATCATTAGACATTATTTGTGATAGGCAGTCATCGAATTGTATGATCCTTGAAGCCAATCCGATCTATTTTAGAAACACTTTTATTATTGTGGCTTTAACATAATCTTTCTTTTATACCTTCAATCATTGCATTTTAGACCATACCTTAAATCTTAAATATTGTGTTTCAACATTGTCCTTTATGTATTGAAGTTGGTAATATGTATCTGTCAGTAATTTATCATAAGTGGGCTACTAGACAATTTAAAATTTTCATGCATAATTTTGCTCTTCTAATCATGTAATTTGATAAGGTTGGATGTTTTACAGAAGGTACAACCACAAATGGAGAATATCTCCTTCCATTCAAGAGTGGTGGTTTTTTGGCACATGCACCAGTACTTCCTGTAATTTTAAATTACCGTTACAAGAGATTTAGCCCTGCTTGGGATTCCATATCTGGGGTAAGGAATTTTTAAAGTATTGGAGTTTCCTATTTTCATTAAGTGTGTTTGGTTTTGTATGGATGAAAATTAATTAGAAATAAATTTTTGTGAAGTTACTTTTGGTTATTAGTACATTGAATGCAGAAAGGTTTTTGTATAAGTATCTCCTCGTAAAAGTGAATTAAACAATAAATTTGATGCTAAAAATCATGTTCGGAGGCAAAACTCCAAAACTCAGCTTCATGTTATAGTCTATTCTGGACTCAACTCCAAAAATCTTAGCTGATCCTTCTCGGATTTGTTATATACTAAATACGCAGTATCATAAGTCTAAACTCTAGAGTTATCTACAGCCTAAACCCTTTTCTTATTAAATTTGACCTCACATTAAAAATTGTAAATGAACAAATGGATGCACTTACATTTGAATTTCATGTGGGGGGTCATGAATCTGTTAGAGACCAGCTTACGTGCTTCAAAAAGTATGTCATGCTAACCTAACGGTTTTGTAGATGCAAATTGTTCTTGTTTTCAAACACTTATGTTGTAGCTTATAAATGATCTTTTGTATGTTCTTGTTGATAATTCGATTTTAAGTCTTATCCATTAACAACTTTTTTTGTTGTTGAAAAGCTAATATATACATGTTTTGTGGCAGCTGCGTCATGTGATTTTTCTTTTCTGTCAGTTTGTAAATTATATGGAGGTGACAGAGTTACCTATGTACTCTCCCTCACAAGAGGAGAAGGATAATCCCAGACTATATGCAAATAATGTTAGAACGTTGATGGCTACTGAGGTATGTAATCTCTCTTTAATTATTAATTTGTAGTGTGAAAACTTAAAACTACACCCTAAGAGCTTTTAACGATGACATGTAGTTAGGCAGCATATGTATGTTTTCATATTCTACTGATGGAATCAGTCTTGGTGTACTAGAGTTTGTGTGTCTAAGAAGAACTTGGATTTTAAAGAAATCTTGGAGATTAACAAGTAGTTTTTGTCAACCACTTAAAAAAAAAAAACAAGTTTTTGTCATATTGATTTTGCATTCGCGGTTTTGAAAGACTGAAATAGTATGTGATGAATTGATCCTTATTTTCGCTTGTTTGAAACATACATAGTAACATTCCTGTATAGTAAGGTTCTTGTCTCCATGTTATGTATTCACTGTTTGTATTGCCATGGGTTTTCTTGTTGAACAAGCATGATATTGTTTCCGTGTTTTGCTTGCAGGGTAATTTGATACTTTCAGATATTGGGCTAGCTGAGAAACGAATATATCACTCTGCACTTAATGGTAACAGATTATATATATATATATATATATATATATATATATATATATATATATATATATATATATATATATATATATATATATATATATATATATATATATATATATATATATATATATATATATATATATATATCATTAACCCGATTAAAAGTTTCTAGCCCAAATATTATAACTTGTTTCTCTCAATATGTAACTTTTCAATTATTCGTCAACAGTTGACCAATATCGTTAAAAGGTTTCTTGTTTAAAGACTTCTCTAGATTTATGGATAAAAATTCCTAGGTTTATAGTGAATGAAGTTTGCTAACAGTAGAACCATATAAAATCACTGTGAACACTTGAGATGAATATCCTAATTCATTTTAGAAGGCCGTGTCCTTGAAACTTGGATCTGAAACATTTTTTCCATGTTCCCGCAGGTTTGTTTCCCCAATGCTAATTTGGCTTTGTGCCCTGTGTATTCACTGTATGGTTGGTTCTATTATGTCCAGAAAGGAAGTTAACATGGAAAATTATGTGCTGAGTAAGATTCATATTTAAATTGTATCTGATCGTGGATCCTTCTCTTGGAACGTCAGTGCCCTTCAGCAGAGACCTTCTGGTACTATTTTTGGCTGATCCTTTCAAGTGTGAGGTGATTTACAGTATAGTTGCTGATTCTGATGGAGATTTAGGCTCCATGTTTTTAACCTAGTAATCTTGACAAGGGCTGAAGTTTACTATAATGTATGGGAGGAATTTAAATATTTAGGAGGGGCGCAGAGAAGCAAGTAAATATGTAAAATGTTTGACTTGATTTTTTGAATTAGTTTTTAAGTAAATATAAATTATATAACCCTCTTAAGAAGCATTTCTTCAATATCATCCTTCTCAAATTATAAGATATTTTTGCATATTTCATATAAATTAAAAAATATACTTAATATTAGGGTTAAATATGTTTGTGATCCTTCTAAATATTTCATATTTTATTTTTAATCACTTAAAAAATTTCCTTTAAAAAATGATTTTCCTAAATTTTTTTCATACATTTGGTCCTCCAACAATTAGTGACAATTTTTATAACTTAGAGCAACTTTAACGCAAGGTTGTTAAACCAAAATTCTTTATAGCTTACCTTAGTAATAAGGAATTTGTATTATAGGAGAGCTGACATGACATCCAAATGAATTAAAATTTAGTTTTCATTATCTATATAGTTAACGTAAACTATGTGAAACCTATTATAATATTTTTTAATATTAATAAAATATTCCAAATATTCCAACAACATTAAAGTAAGGATATGATATTTAAAAATGTTAATGGTCATATTATCATTTTTTACCTTCTATAAATTCTATAGAAATTTTAATTTTTTTTACACAGTTTTAATTTATCCCAACCAGTCGAATCCTTATTATAATTATATTCCTATGAAAATGTAATTTTTTTTTATGTATTATTGTTGTGAATTTTGTATCATTTTTAATTTTATAATAAAATATATTTAATATTATTTTTAAGTTTTTAAAGTAAATTTTATTTAAAAAATTATATATATTTTAATTAAAATAATTAAATTAATGGTAACTTGAATAAAAAATATAAAATGTGGGGTCAAGTTTTGGTTTCTTGTAGACAACCATCATTAAAGTAAAAACTATTCAAATCAACTATAAATTTTTTAAATCCTACAAATCACTTTGGACCCACAAAAAGTATCTTAGTTTACCCATTTAGTTTACTCCCATTAAAGATGCTCTTAGTGACAGAATTAACGACAATTTTAACATTTTACTACTTAACAATTTAGAGACTAAAAGTGAAATATGAAATATTTAAGAAAACCACAAACATATTTAATCTTTAATATTATATAAAAAAAAATATATTTGGATGACTTTATAATAACACTCTTTATTAATTATATAAAAAAGAGAAATTTAAAGAGTTAAAAGAAACAATAGTAATAAAAACTAAATTGTATTTATAAAAAATTATTAATGTTACATTGAATTATAGAGTGACTTGTAATTTATAACATATTTTTTTGACAAAGTATCTTATGAGATAGAATAAGCATTACACAATAGAGATTATTCTATTTGATAAGATGCACACGGGGAGTTAATGAATCAACCAATTGCCTAACTAAGAATATTTATGAATCAACCAATTGCCTAACTAAGGATATTTATATGTCCAGTTGCTTGATCTAAGAGTCATTATGAATGTTGATTTGGGTACATCTAAATTCGACTACGCGCCCTGACTTGATCATGGGAATGAATGGGGTTACTCATCCTTAATAATAGGTGGCGTGGTTAATGAATGAAAGTTGGGATCTTTCAGTTATTCCCGTAACACATGGCTTGATACATTCTCCCATGATTTATAATGAAAAAGTATTGGGTCAGGCAGGATGACATGTTTGCTGCATGATCTTGTCCTTGTGAGCCCAAGTACACTCCATACTATTTATTAGGAGAATTTCTTATTCCACCCCTCGATACTCTTAAGCATTTAGTGCATTTTTTTTATGTCTCCTGTTTTTAGAGATACATATCTGGACGCATTTTTTTTGTTAAATTTTTTTTCCGGAACTACATCTACGGAATAATTTTAAACTGGTAAACGCTAGAAAAACTTCAAAATAATTCAGTTCAGAAAAACTTCAGTAGATGCCCCTCTGAAACGTCTAAGCGTCAGATTGTTCCGTAGATACAACTCCAAAAGTTTTTGCTATATTTGAAACATGCATGATCACTCCCCCCATTATTGTGTTTTCTTCTTCCACACTCACATTCACCAACCTAAAAAATCATACATTCTCAATATCATTTTTCACTCCAAAACCCCAACTTTTTTGTGCAACAAATCAAAGGGAGCAAGAGAAGATCGAATTTCAGGTAAAGATTACACTTTGTCCACTACATTGCTCACATTAATCATCAATCTTTTGAAAAAAAAGTAACGTTGCTTCTGGAGTTGTACCTCCGGAACGTGTTGAAGATGAACACTTTCGGATGTACATCTCTGGAACGTGTCTGTGACCTGTTTTTTTTACCGCAGATTTGTAATTTTTGTTTATTTTTCTTATTGTTTACAAATAGATATGGTGCACCCCGATAATATCTCAAAAGAGTTAGTTTCTACAAACGATGTTTCTCCGAATGTTCAAGGGATTGTCGTAAAGTCGGTAGATGTCGGCGTTGACTTTAATAACAAGTAAGAGTTTGATGATCGTGATAGCATGCTCACATGAATTCGTAGGACTGCAACTAGGCTTGGTTTTGGTGTGGTTAATGGAAGATCATATAATGGTTCAGAAAGAAGAAACGCTTTTGTAACTTTGTTGTGCGAAAGAAGTGGAAAATATCATACTCTTCTATGAAAGTTTAAAACAGACGACGCCGGTAATAGAAAATGTGAATGTCCTTTTAAGATTTCTGGTTACATGTTGAGTAGCAAAAAGTGAAAATTTAGTGTTATTTTTGGTTTGCATTACCATGAATTGTACTTAAAGTTACAAGGTCATCATAGTGTATGTCGGCTCAAGCTGGAAAAGAAGACATGTATTAGTGACATGGCCTTGAATTTTATTCAGCCGAAAAATATACTTGCCACATTGAAACGGAAGGAACCCGCCAATATATCAAATATAAGGCAAGTGTATAACATTCGGTACCGCACCAACAAGGCGATTAGGGGAGATAAAAGTGAGATGCAACAATTGTTGAAATTGTTGGATGATAATAGTTACGTGTCCCAGTATAGAACTTGCGACGACAGAGTTACGGTTCGAGATATTTTTTGACTCATCCAGATTTGATATAGTTGTTCAACACGTTCTCGACAGTGCTCATTCTTGATTTTACCTACAAGACCAACAAGTATAAACTTCCTTTATTTGAGACGGTTGATGTTACGTCTACCGAGAAGACATATGTCATTGATTTTGCTTTTCTAGAGTGTGAAAAAGATGACAATTTTACATGGGCATTAGAGGTGTATCGGTCACTTTTGAAGGACCAAGTTGAGATGCCTAAAGCGATTATTACCAACTGTATTCCGCGTTGATAAATGCGGTTGCAAAGGTATTTCCTTCTTTTAATGCATTACTTTGTCGATATCACATAACAAATAATGTGAGAAGTCGGGTTAAACCCGCAGTGGGGGCGAAACAAGTAAAGTCCGAAGGTGGATAATTGGTAAAAGCCAGTGTGATTGTTGAAAAAAATAATGGATGCATGGAATCGTATACTAAATTCTTCCACAAAAGTATTATATGCCGATTTCGTCATTCAATTCCGGAAAGTGTGTGAAAATTATCATGTTTTATTGAAATACGTTGAAAGCACAATTCTTGATTAGGTGAAGAAGAAGATAGTCTGTGTGTGGACTGATAATGTCTGGCATCTTAAAAATACAACCACCAACAGAGTTGAGTTGGTCCATGCTAATTTAAAAAATTGGTTGGGTAATAGCAAGGGGGATTTGTGTCGAGATTGGGACTCTCTAAATCTCATGATTAAAAACCAACATAATGAGATACAAACAATATTTGGTTGGAGTATAACAATATTGGAACATCGATTTAAAGACAACATTTTTTATTCTCAATTGATCAGCAATATGTCTCGGTCGGGGTTGAACTATATTTTTCACGAGGTCAAACAAGTTGAAACTGTAGGTTTCGATAGCGCAAAATGCGGTTACCCTATTGTGAAAACCTGTGGTCTTCCATGTGCTTGTGGTATTGCTAAAAAGTATTATGTGTGTTTTATCCCGACTCACCGACTCCTAAATCTTAAAAAGTGTCATGAAAGGAGCCCGCATAAGACAACCGCCTCTGACCCCGATTCCACCGAAAATTCCATTCATCGATGAAATGTCGGTTTTTATGCACAAATACATCGACCATATCGTCAATGTTGAAAGGGGATGGTAATTGCGGTTATCGAGCCGTTTTGACTTTGCTTGGTAAAGGAGAGGATAGTCATGCGCTTGTCCGTCATCAACTAATCCAAGAGTTGAAGACACATAAAGAATGGTACACGCGGTAGTATGGAAAGAAAGAAAAATTCGATGCGGTTTATGAATCTCTTGTTCCTTGCTTGAGTGGTTCGGCACCGGTGTCGGAATGGATGAACTTACCTGATATGTGTCATCTTATTGCATGGGCATATGATAGGGTGTGCATTGACCTGACGGGATACGGGTTTTCGGAAACCTTTTTTCCACTCCGCACCGCACCACCTCAAAATCCAAATGATCGCATCATGTGTATTGGATGGCTTGTAAAATTAAGACATTTTGTACAAGTTTACTTGAAACCGGGATGCCACATACTATATACATCATCAAAATGGGCGACTCGTTCATCCGCAAATGCCGACACGTGGCCGGATCGTTTTGTTGAAAGGATGCGCGAATTCGAAAGATTGAACAACATTGAAAAAAAATTGAATGTGAAAATGTTCAAAGGGGTACCACCAATAGATTTAGTCGGCAACACTTGTTTTGATTCATTTTTAATTCAGGGAAAGTTCCGGAGATACACCTCCGGAACGAATAATTACGGGGTCGATCCATGGATATAGCTCCGGAAAAAAGTTTGACAGAAAATGGTTGGTCCATATTCACCTAGGTTTTCTATATATTTGGGGTTTTATTTGTTATCTTTCACACAAATACAAAAATGTCTCAATTGTGTGAAATCAAGATTCGTTGGTATGTCGTAAGTGTCTCCTTTTGCGATGGCAAAACATCCGAGAGGACGTTCAAGCTCATGGGTCTTACCCCCTCGCCGATATCATAGACGAGATCCAATATCGCCTACCTTACAATGACAAACGAAAGGTTGTGAAGTTTGAGTATCGTTCACCTTCAGTTTACAACGAATGGAACGTTGTTTACAATAAGTTTGAGCTCAAGAATCAAGACAATGTTAGGGCGAACGTATTTCGGTTTCGAAGAGAAAATTCCGCTTGAGTTGGAGGCGACGGTCCGAAGAACGGTCAATGACATCTTAGAGATGTGCAAGCGTCCACCGGACTATTGAAATGTCATATTTAAATTCTTGTCGAAATCATCAATGTAACACCGATTTTATTTTATGAATGTTGATTTTATCGTTGAAATGTTGATTTTCTAGTATTCTGTTCCTGATTTTCTTCCGTAAATACGCATACAGAAATATTCCGTAGATGCATCTATGAAATTAATTAAAAAAATATGCCCCCAGAGATACTTCTCCGAAATTAGGGGATATTTTAGGCAGAGCGCATGATCTCTAAAAAGGCTAAGGGATGGAATAAGAAATTCTCTTTACTAGATAGACACTTGATAGGCCGAACTCTTTGGGCCTAGACGCATGGGCGAGAGTGGTGGCAACGTGAGGGAGCACATGTCTGGGCTTCTAGCCACTGTTATAAGCGATAAAAATTCGAATGAAATGGTCTCTTAAACACCCCAGAAAAAAGAAAAAAGTAGAATTTTAAATCATGCTTCTAATAAGAATAATATCTAATTAAAAAACTATTTCATGAATTCAAGAACTGAAACTATGATTTTTTTTAAACCAAACTATTCCATGAATTCAAAAACTGAAACTATGATTTTTTTTAACAGTTATCAAACTGAAATCCTACCAACAAAGCTTGATTTAAGTTCATTTCGAATTTTATCTGATTCACACAAAGCCTAAAATTTCATGAACCTGAAACTGGGATCATGATCCTTGGTTTAGCAATTTCAATATGTAGCTTCAATTTAGTTCAAAATTAGTTATTGTTTAATTAATTTACTCATGATCCTTGGTTTAGCAATTTCAATATGTAGCTTCAATTTAGTTCAAAATTAGTTATTGTTTAATTAATTTACTGCACAGAGTTCTTGTCAAAAAAGGTTTATAATTAAAGGTGGAAATAGACTGCGCTGAGTTAGACATTGTCAAGCTTAAATTTGACCTGTCAAAAAAAATGAAATCTAAGTCTGACATATAACCTGTCATAGACTTATTTTTAAACTTGAGTTTGACATTTTCTAAGGCCTGATTAGCGTGTTACCCTGCATAAAAGCTTATTATTTTAGACATATATAAATAAGCAATTAAAATAATATTTAAATAGACTAACAAACTAGAAAACCAATGAGACTAAAACGTTCTTTACATTGATTTATTTTAATTTATCTATTATCATAAATTTTGTGAGACTATTTATTTAAAGTAACTTATAAAAACAACTTATAACATTGTTCATAAAATTTTTTTATTTTATTTTTATAAGTTTTTTAAAATAACTAATGTATTTTAATTCAAAGTAAAAAAATAATTTAAATAAGTCGACCTCTTATATTTAAGATACTTTTTTTCATTGCTTGAAGCCTAATCTTTTTAAAAACTTGACCTGCCCTAAATCTATATAGGTGAGACCGTAAACCCTGTTATCGTCGTTACCTATTTCCATCCCTATTTCTTTTGTTCATTATTCATCATTGGCTCGTTTTGTCTTTTCAAAATAAATCAGGAATAGATCTTTAGGTGAGGCAAATCTAAAGAATAGACAAAATATGGCTCAGTTTTCAGTCTGAATCGAACTATGATGGCTGATGCCTTGGCTCTGAAAGGTCATGAAGTGGTTAGCACGCCGCAATCGATTATAACAACAACAAAATTATAACACCAATGTTACCACAAGTGGTTATTCTGCATGGTGATGGTGTGAATGATGTAAATTCTAGAATACCAATTTGATTCTTACTAAATTAAACAGTCATCAATCTAAATGTGGAAAAATTAAAGATAAAAAATGTATTACAAACATAAAACCTACTTACAAAAGACTAACTCAAACAAGAAAGATGGTACATTAGCTTAAAAATTAAAATTAATACTAATAATAATACAAGAGATGTTACAAATTACAAACATGCATTTCTTAGATGAAGGGACCAAGTCATACAGTTACCTTTCTTTGACCGATCGATTAATAGACTTGCTCAATTCCCATGATGGCCACTTCGACGATAAGCAACCTCTTAAGGGCGATTGTAGAAACAACGAAGATTTAGATAACTGCTTTTGACGCATTGAGATCGAAGACAACGAACTGAAAGCACTTCTTAGCTTTCTCTTTTCACTATCATGAGCTTCATAGTTAGGATCATGCCCTACCGCAGAAATTCTTAACGCTTCAGGTAGAACGCAGTTGCAAATCGAACCTGTCACATACAACGTGTTAACAATACTAAATATTCTTTACACGATCAGTAAATCATAACTGTCATAACCGGACGAGATAGGACGAGTAAAATACCTAGTCTGGCAAGCCGATTTACCCAAGTTGGAATTGATTTTCCTGTCAACTTGTAGCATATGTCTTTGCAGAAGTGATTGCAGTTCTTAGCAATTAAGTGATATGTGTCGCCGTTGTAGCTTGCTGACTCACATTCCATGAACTCCCTAACTTGAACAGGATCTAATGATGTAGTTCCTATGAATATCGACTTTCTGAACTTGAAGCCTGGACATTGCCGAGGTTCGACCTCAAAAACACCGCTTGTTGAGTAGTCATGAGCTCCAAATGCATATTCTACACCATGAACTGTAAAATACAGGTAAGGTGGCTCATCAGATATTAAAAGTGTTGATTGAAAGTTCGAGACATTAAAGCTTAAAAATGTACCTTCGATACCAGAGTGATATATACCAAGACCGGCCCAATACACATAACCATTCATTGGTGTCAAGTCATACACATTAAGATAAACAGGAGTTTTTCCGGGTCCATGGCTAGCTGAATTTACTTTGCGAAATAACGAAAAACGAGTCACAGACTTTCCTTTTAAATGAAGAGGTACAATGGATTTCCATCCTTTCTTAGACTTCAATTTCATCTTTCCCTAAGGGGAACAACACTCACATAGTACCTGTACAATTGATTATGGCTAAAAGTAAGTTGAATGTAAAATGACTAATATTTCAATACATTCATTTAAACATAGTTTCAACAATGAATTTGAGGCTAAAAACAATTTTAGAAGCAAAAACAGTGAATTATATCTTCAAGTTAATATCAATTATACTTAAAAACTACCAATTATATCTTCAAATTAGAATCAATTCTAAAAGCAAAATCCAATATACTTGAAAACTACCAATTATAGTTCAAGTTAGAATCAATTCTAAACACAAAATCAATTATACTTAAAAACATCCAAAACATCCAAACATGTAAACTTAACTTCCCCTATCAAACCTTAAACTTAAAATCCAACAATTTAGTTGTTACATGATAGCAACAACAACAAAAATCCAACAAAACATCTGCAAACAGCAGACAGCTCCTAAAATTTAGAAGATCTTGCTAACATTTTCCACATAGAGAAAACCCTAATAGATTCTTAATCCATTCCACAAATAGCTTCTAGGCAACAAACACATCCTATTATAGGAATTAGGAGGGGAAAAAAATACCAAATTGAAAGAAGAAAAAATCAACTTCAGTTTAGGATTCAGAATAGAGCTAATGTAGGTTAATTTTCCAGATCTAGCACACGGAGAAAACAGTAAAAGCAAGAGAAAAAACGAGAAACGTGTTAGTTAGTTTGAACTTTAATTAGTTTCACTTTCACGTTGTAAAGAAGAAAGGAATAGCTTCAAGAGTGGATAACGTTAATGCTAACGCTAATGCTAATGCAGAAGAACAGTGACCTCATAAATAAGCAAGAATCGATTATTAATTTAAGCTGCAACAAAAACAAACAGAACTTAACTTAACTTACAGTTTCAGGTTGAGAGAGTTGCTCCATTAGAGAGAGAAAATCAGAAAGTTGCTGAAAACTGTCGAGTGCTGAAATGAAACATGGTAAGATAGAAGAAAGAGTTTTAATAGTTTAGATTAGGATTAATAACTATGTTAAGAGTTAATCCAGGGTTTTGTTTCATTGTTAATTGCTTAAACTGAATACTAAGCAAAAACAATAATAGTGAAGTTAATTTACTATAAGCTGTGATGCAAAGTTGAGAGTTATTTTTATGTGGTAAAAAAATGAAAAGGACTGAAGAGTGAAAGGTTCTGCATTGTGTAGGAATGAATGGGAAAATAAAATAATATTATTACTGACTTTCGTGCAGACACGAGTAACTCTGAAAAGCCTGCACAACTACGTGATTTATCGAATAGTGTCAACGTTCTTATTTTTATAAAGTTTCTTTTGCAATAATTTAGTAGTATTAAAAAAATTTCTCTTCTCGCCTTTAATGATCAAGAGTCATCGTTTTAAAACGTAAAATTGTCTTTCACAAATTCATCTAATCTCAAGCATACTTTCATACACATCTTTGTATATATTCGATAACAATAAATATATATTGAAATTAACTTAGTTGTTTTAAAATATCGAAACAAATTGTTCAATAGAAATTTGACTTATACCTATTTTAATAGTATTAACTAAATTGAATATTTTGAGCTTTTGTGTTTTGTGTTTCGGACTTTGTCTTAGAAAGTAAGTTAACCTAAAACTATAAATAGAGAGAGTAATTCCTATTCTTGTAACAACTTGAATTCACAAAAATTTGCAGTTGTAAAGTGAATAAATTTTCACAGTTTGTAGGCAGAGAGAATTACTCTGCAGAAATCAACATCTTCTTCTATATTTTGTCAAACCTTAATTTTCTTTATTCTACAAATTTTCTTTCTTTTCATTGTTATTTTGTATCGATAATAATATCGTTAATCAAGATTGATAGAAATTCTCCATAGGTTGTGGTGGATTTCCAACATCTAGTATCTGGAGCACTGACTGAGCGATTTGTGGGAAGAAAATCACGATGACAATGAATCATCCAAACAGACATTTTTGACGAGTCTTCTGATTCTCAAGAACAATAATTATGAGAGTTGGTGCAAGCAGATTAATGTTATTTTTTGTTATCAAAATCTTTGGGATCTTGTGGAGGAAGGAGTAACTTCACTTGCAGAAAATGCGTCGGATCAAGAAAATGCCACACACAAAAAATTGGATAAGAAATATTATAAAGCTCTATTTATAATTCATCAACGCATTGATCCAAATAATTTTAAAAATGTTAATGATGTAGAATCAGCGAAAGAAGCATGAGAAATTCTGGAGAAATCGTTTGGAGGCGCATAAAAGGTGAAAAAGGTGAGGTTACAAACTCAACAAAGAACCTATGAATTGCTTCAGATGGAAGACAATGAAAGCATAATAATTTTTTTTACTAGTTAGGGTTACAAAACTAGTGAATCAAATTAAAGTATGTGGAGAAGTGTTGACATTAAAATCTGTTGTTGCAAAGATCTTGAGGTCATTGACTCCAAAGTTCGACCACATGGTAGTAGCTATAGAATAGCCGAAAGACTTGTCAACATTTACAAAGGAAGAGGTTCAATGGAAGCTTGAATCTCATGAACAAAGGATGACCGAAAGAGCTACAGGCAAGTCGAAGAGTATTATGGCTTTGCAGGTGCAATCAACAAAAGAAAAGAAAGGCAAAGGAAGTTGAAATGACAACAAAGGAAGAGGAGGCTACAACAATTCGACTAGTTGAAATCAGCAAGAAAGAGCCTGGTTAAATTAGAGAAAGTCTTCATACCAAAGCAATCAAAGAGGTGGTGCAGCAGGTGGAGGAAGACGTGGTGGTCGAAAACCTGACAAAAGCCACATTCAGTGTTATAATTGCTAGAAGTATGGTCATTATTCTAGTGATTGTCCTGAAAAGCAGAAGAATCAAGAAATTGATGCAAAATTGGCGAACACATGAAGAAGAAGAAAAGATGTTGTTGATGGTCACAACAAGAGATGAAGAAATATTCCAGGACCAATGGTACTTGGACTCTGGATGCTCATCATGTAACGCCCATTTTAATTATCTCGTTTTTCCGTGTTATTTTATTTTCGGCGTGTTTTGTGGGGGTGTTTGAGTGCGATTGTGTGTAGCCCTTAAGTTGTAATTAATTAATAATTTTGGACTTTAAGACTAATAATAAAATTATTAGTGATAATGATAAATTAATGACTAATAATAATATTATTAGTATTATTATTATTATTGTTGTTGTTGTTATTATTATTATTATTATTAATATTATTATTAAGTAAATAAAAGAAATAGAATAAAAAGAATTGGGATGAGGGGTATGGTTGGAATATTGAAAAGAAGGAAAGGGGAGAAACACGTTGGAAGGAGAAGAGGAAGAAGAACACGATCAAAGAGAAGAGGGATTGGAAGGAAGAAGAACAAGGTGGATTGGAGCAAGAGGAAACTAGGAATCATCTTGGGAGCAAGAGTTCATCAGATTATTCGAGTTATCGAGGTAAGGGGGGGGGGGGGGGGAATCGGGTCAAATTGGTATAGTGCATGAATACTAGGTAGGAGGGGATTTCCCTAACCCCATTAGGTTGTGATGATTTTTGTTGGTATGTGTTGGGAATTCTGATTTGATGTTGATATGTTGAAACCATTGCATGTGTTGTTTAATCGATTTGGGGGTTTCCGGGTAGTTCGAAGTTTTATGCCGAAATTGATTAATTGAGTGGAGCTGAGGTTTAATCGGGTTAAATCGAGAATAGATTATGTAGTTAGGTTGTAGAATATTGGTCTGATATGCTGGGGACTGGTTTGAAGTAGAATCAGCTGAGTTCAGAGCGTTTTGCCGACTCCGAGCAGTATTAATTTTCTGAATTCGCAGGCGTTCGCCAGCACCTTCCAGTAGAATCGTGTACACTTAGTGTATTTGATGTTGTGTGTTGTGCATTGGGGTTATGCATAGCATGGTGTGATAATGTGCTTCTGTGTGGAGGGTGATGGCCCTGTGCCCATTGGTGATTATGAGGGGTAGATCATGTCTCAGGGGAGCGTAAGTGATCTATCCTGTTTATGATGTGCTCCTGTGTGGAGGGTGATGGCCTAGTGCCCATCGGTGATGATGATATGTTCCTTCGGGAAGGGTGATGGCCCGGTGCCCATCGTTGCTATTGTTGAGTTGGTACCGCATATCATGGGTTGAGTTGCATGTGTTGCATTGTCTTATATGCTATGTTGGTGTGGGACTGTAGGTCCGGGTCGATGTATGTGAATGATAATTGTGTGATTTACTGCCTTTTATTCATGTACGTTATTACCGTTATATTTTGATCGTGATTTCTCACCCCTTGCTTTTGTTGTGGTCTGTGCTTCTTCGAAAGTACAGATAATCCAGGTGTGTAGCTAGCTTGGTTTGTGGCGAGTCGTAGGGATGCTCTGATACATAACACCAGGGCTTTGGAGAGTTTTATGTTTATTTGATGATTTTGTGTGCCTCTGTGGTGTATCATGCTTCGATGAATCTTTTTAGTGAACATATCTTGTATATTTTGGGCAGTTGGCCGAGCACGATGTATATGATGTTTATATGTATATATATATATATATATATATATATATATGATGACAAATTTCCGCTGTGTTATATATGTTGAAAATCATTTAATGAAAATGTTTTGTGTTGAGTTTATTTCTGTGACATCCCGTTTTGGTATGAATACTCTGATAATTGTTTATTTTAGTTGCATTTATGTTATTTTGGGGAACTGGGTGTTACACATCACATATGACTGGTAGGAAAGATTGGTTTGTCAACATAAAGCCCTCAACAAAGAACATGGTGAAATTACAAATGACAATACTCTAGCAGCTGAAGGTATCAATGATGTTTTGATTATAAGGAAAGATGGCGAAATGTCATTAATTTCTAATGTGTTATACATACCACGCATGAAGAGAAATTTTCTCAGCACAGGACAAGTGGCCGAAAAGAACTACAAGGTGTCGATTGAAGACAAGATGATGAGAATTCTCAACTTAAATGGAAGGTTGATCTTGAAGGATC